GTACAGATCTTTGAGCATACAAATTAGGAAAAATATGTATTGAACTGCACTTATATGTATTAGAGCTTCACCAGTTTAGAAATTTCCTTCCTAAAATCAATGTTCATGACATTTAGAATACTTAATTTCGTTATGGACAGAAGGGTCAACTGAGGTCTCAGTGAAGCAGACAATAAAGACTTGTTTAGCTAGTTACCTTATAGGCCCAAAGCCATTCAGTGCTCTGCCTCGTGTTTTCCCTCTAGTATATCCTCTGCCACCTCGACCTCTTCCCCGGCCCCTTGGTCCCCTGTAGGAAAGGAAAGGGAACATATGAAATGCAGTCATTTTTATTCCAATGCACAGTTACTATATTCCCCTCCTTTGATAATCAGCTCACTACAATGTTTGTCACATGACTTCAGGAACTTAGGCACCCCTGCCTTACAGAGTTGTACTTGGGATGCCCAAGTTCAGTCCAGCTTTGGGATGCTCAAACTTCATGCATTGGAGAGAATCTGTAAACAAGTCTCTGTTTTGGAAAAGGTCTATGATCAACTTTTCAGTTCTCATTCAAAGCCAAACTATACTTGCTGCACAAGACCCATGCTCAACTCTCCCGATGTAATCTCCTTCAAAACACTCAGCTAATGTGACTGAGAAAATGGCACTGGGAGAAGAGGAACTTGATTTCGCTACACTAGAGGCAGGCACAAACCTTGGATCTGAGGTTTGCATCGGTTCGTACATACGGCACCAAAGACACCGCACATTCCCTTCCCCTGCCTCCTGGTGAATGACCATCAGTCAGCATGCACTACTCTCTCCACCTTTCTGTCTGTTCAATCAGTCCCTGGGAGGAGCACAGGGCTGCCTGTCCTTCCTCCTTATCTGAGTGGCCGATCAGCCAAGGAAGCAGGACAGGGAAGCCTATGCTCCTGCCAGAGACTGGTCCAACAGCCGAAGAGGAGGAAGAGAGAACCATGTGCCAACTGGTGAATGGGCGATCCAGCTGGGCAGGCTGGGGATGGTGCCACGTGTACAAACATCCAAACAGGTTTGTGCCCATATATACTCCACACACATAATGAACTTCTTATACAGTACTTATTTCTCCCTTCGGAAAGCTGCAATCAGTTCTAGTAAGCAAAAACCACAAGCGCCAATATTGTATCTCCCAGACATCCTTCTCCCAAAAGAACCAAGTATCTCACAGAGCCATTGCAAAAACAGTTAAGATACCACTAAGAAAATAATCACTGTACAACATATTATATTAACAACAGCAGCAACTTAGTAATTGTGACTCACTTTTTTTTAGGTTCAGTTTTTTCTATATTTTCAGGAACAAATTCATTCTGGTCCATTACGACTTCAGCTGCTTGTTCCATCTACAACAAATTAAAAACAAAACAAATCAAAACAGCAAGTTTGAGCCCACAAAATTATGAACCAATTCCTATCAAATCTTAATTCTGGTGGTTCCTTAATAGAATGTGTATGCTCTGTTCACATTGGGTATAATATGTTTTATCAATTGCTTTGCACTAATAGGGTGGTATATAAATCAAATTAATTAATTAAAGCTAAACCAGGGCTACCAGTGAACATGGACATGCAAGGATAATCCTACCCCCCCTCACACAATAGGACTGAATCAAGGAACAGCATTTCTCTATCAGGAGTGGGGAAAGCACAACTAGTCCCTTCAGTATTAATCATTCCTTCAATGTATTTATTTATGATTTATTCACAAATCACACATATGGCAATACAGATTAATATATATAATAAGTCAGGAAGGTGGGTAGTATGTTAACTAATGTTCAAGCAACAAAATCAGCAGGTTGATACGGAGCCCTGAATTTTACAAAAGACAATAGCTTTTTGTTAAAGAAATATACAATTGGAACAGATTTATTTTCTTGTGTCTCATACGCTTTGTTATTACACATTTACTTACCTTTTTCTGATAAAGTCCTTTTAGTTATAAAAATATTCCTATATCAAATTTCAAAAATGCTAACATAGTTTGCAATACTGCATTGTCATAAAATCAAAATGAAACAACAGAACAATGATAAAATTATAATAGGTGTTTTAACAGATGTTAACAAGAGATGGGGATTTTTGTATACAAATACCCCCACACAGCTGGACGTAATGAAGGTCCAGCCCCCTGGGGCCAGACCATCCACTCACGTGTCTGCTGCCAGCTCTCCTCTGGCGCTCCCGGTTGGCTCTGCTTTCAATGACTCTGGAGCTCCTGGTCGGCTAGTCACTCCTGGCAGGAGGAGGGATGACAAGTCTCCCTGCAAGGCTGACGAATGGAAAACCAATTGGGAGCTCTGGAGCAATTGTTCTTGCATGGCAGGGGGTTGGACTGGATGGCCTCGGTGGTCTCTTCTAACTCTATGACTCTATGGAAGGGAGAGCGGAGCCACTGGTGCTAGTGGACACATGAGTGGACAGTCCAGCCCCGGGGGGGGGACCCTTGTTACGTCTCTAATGTTAACAGACTTTTTTTTCTCAGTTACCTATTAAATACAAGCAAGGTTCCACATAGGGCTCCTCCTCCTCCTCTGCGCACCCACAGCAATCATTTTCAGCCCCACTGGTTCAGGTCATGGCAAACCCCCACGTAGGTGGCATCGTTGTGCATGCACAGGAGGCAGAGCCCTGCCTAGCAGGGCTGAACATTAGAGGGAACATGGAATGCAAGCTTACAAAATTCTAACATAATTAGTGAGGTGCAGGGAGGAAAAAGTAGTGCAAGAGGAAAACTTTAAAACACACACAAAGCTAATGCAGAAAATATTTAGTAGGAAAAAGAAACATGGAGATTCCCAGCATCTTTCAATCCTGAATAAGAAAAATAAAAATAAAAGAGCTCCCCCCCAAAACAAAACACATTTAGAATCAAGAAGCTTCAAATCTTATGTAGTGTCTGGTACTACATTCTCTGTAACAGTTGGCCATGTAGCCTAAACTTTAAAACATCCAATGAAGGGAAGGAAGTCTGCTACCTTCCAAGGCAACATGTTTCACTATCAGAAAAAAAAACTCTTCCTTATGTTTAACCTAAACCCTTTCCCTTGTAAGTTGAACTTCCTGGTGCAGGTCCTATCCTCTGCAGAACAAGAAGAGAAATTGGCACCACCATTTATGCAACAACCATTAAAGTACTGTATTTGAAGATGTCAAACACATAACTCTCTCAGTCACCTCTTCTTCAGGTAAAGCTTACTTAACATCTTCCGCCTTTCCTCCCAGGAAGTTGTTGTTGTTTAGTCATTACATTGTGTCCGACTCTTCGTGACCCCATGAACCAGAGCATGCCAGGCCCTCTTGTCTTCCACTGCCTCCCGGACTTTGGTCAAATTCATGTTGGTAGCTTCAATGACACTGTCCAACCATCTCGTCCTCTATCATCCCCTTTTCCTCTTGCCTTCACACTTTCCCAACATCAGAGTCTTTTCCAGGGAGTCTTCTCACCAGATGGCCAAAGTGTTGGAGCCTCAGCTTCAGGATCTGTCCTTCCAGTGAGCACTCAGCGTTGATTTCCTTCAGAACTAATAGGTTTGATCTCCTTGCAGTCTCCTTAATTCTATTAAGGAACCACCAGAAGACTCTCCTCTAGCACCACAATTCAAGGATTATCCTTGCATGTCCATGTTCACTGGTAGCCCTGGTTTAGCTTTAATTAATTAATTTGATTTATGTACCATCCTATTAGTGCAAAGCAATTGATAAAACATATAATACTCAATGTGAACAGAGCATACACATTCTATTAAGGAACCACTCTAAAGACTCTCCTCTAGCACCACAATTCAAAGGCATCAATTCTTCCCAGGAAGTAATCAATGTCAATCTGACCTGACTTCTTTTTGAGAAACTCCTGCTGGCTCTCAGTAATCATAGCATTATTTTCTGAGTACTTTCAGAACAACTGCCTGTGCTAAAACCTCTCCGGGATCTTGGCAACAGGGTGGATAAAAATCAATGTTTTTTTAAAAATCAAATTTAATTTTAAAAATTGAAAATCAAATCAACCCTGGTTGGGAGTATCTTAGGCCCCCCTTTTTTCTCTCCCTGTTTGAAGAAGGAGGCTACTTCTGCCTGCTTCCAGCCACACAGGAAAGACACCTGCAAATTCCTTTAGTTTCCCTTTAACACGGTTTACCAAGGCTTGGAGACCTGAATGTATTTGAAACAGATACTGTACCTAGTTGTTCCCGGCCATCTCCTTATCTACCCCTAGACTTCATTATTTATTCTGTTTTCGCCAGGCTAAGCAAAGTCAAAAGGTCTCAGGCAGCAACTTCCCCTTAAAGATTTTTTTGCAGTGAACGTAAAAATGGAAGAACCCGTGGGAAAACGGGGGAAAGTTACCCAGACGTTATCGGGATCTTTGTGAAACCCCGTGGATAAGGCAAGGCACTTTTGTACCATGAAACCCTCACTTATAAGCACCTCTGGCGACACTCAAACGCAGCACCACCTGTCTAGATACCTGTCCCTGGGATGAAATATTAGGGAAAGCGATTCATTGCCTTCGTGCATTTGAATGACAGACGCTTCCAGCCGGCCCCAAGGCGGGAAACAGGGCAAGGGTACCTCAGACCCTTTCGTCTGGTCCAGAGAGGCCATTCCTTACATGTTTTAGCCACTGCCGGAGAAGCGGAGTAGGAATTGGCCCTGCCTCGGGTGAGGGAAGAGGACTTACCGCTCAGACAGCCCTTGCCCAACGAAGCCCCCCGCGCTGCCACAGAAACGCCGTCACGGTCCCGGCGGAGAGGGAGGAGAAAGCTAACTTTCGCTCTGCCCGGGCTCAGCCCACAAACAAAACGCTCTCCAAAATGGCGCCCGAAAGCACAACCCGGCGAAGGAGGCAGGGAGAAAAGTGAGCTGAGGAGACCCGCCTCCTTTCCAAGTACGAGGCGGGGTTCACCTTTGCCCGCCGCCGTCGGCCTCGCCTCCTCCGGGTTGGGGTTAGTTCTTCCCTCGGCAGGTCTAGCAGGGGATTTTTCCATCCGCTCTAGAAGGAAAACTACCCGCTCAACTAGGGAGCCCGTTAGAAACCGAATGGCTTCACTCGGGAAGAAAACCCCTTAAGTTCAAAGGCAAAAACCGGCGATACCTTTATACGCCACTAAAAAAATCATCATACAATACACGAGCTTTCGGGGATTAAAACATCACTTCATCAGGCCTGCACCAGTATGAAGAACTTAAAAGTCCAAATGTTCATGGCAAAATCGATTACATGCACATCCTTTATTTCACCGTTAAATTCAAGGATTTTTCCACCGTTCTACAGTATGCAAGAACGGCAGCCTCCGGTTTTTGGTAGAAACTCGCCCCCACCTATGTTACACCGGCCTTTACTGTCGAGAGCACGTTTTGCCTGGGACTAGATCCCACTGAGGTCAGCGGAGGGAGGGGGGGTTCGTCCTAGTTTTGCAACCCATTAAATTTAAAACTAAGAACCAGATTAAGTCACAAGCTTCTGTGGACTACTAGACCATGATTTGTGCTCTTTTTCAATGGCTCCTTTTATTGATGTGCACTGCCCACAGTGACCATTGGTCAGATTGGCAGCCTAGAAGTCCAGTCAGTCAATCAACAGACAGACCAGCTATTTTTAGTTGAGGGGGGCTAGAACATCTGAAGGGGGGCACAGACTGGAAATAGTTTTTCACACTCAACCTTATAAGGTTCCTTATGCGATTTACATAATCCCGATTCGGCCTCTACAGTATTTCTTTCATATTGTTTTTACGGCCAAGGCAGGAAAAAAATGATAAAGAGTGGACTAAACTGTCTGTCCAATTATAATTCTTCTTCTTTGGTTTAATTGCAACCAACTAACAAGCTCTGGATTTGGTGTTATGAATCAATTAAGAGAGGCTTTGGCTATTTTGTGCAATTCAGCAGTATGTGGACCGAGAACTCCCAGAAGTACAAGCTGGATTTCGAAGGGGCAGAGGAACAAGAGACCAAATTGCTAACATGCGCTGGATTATGGAGAAAGCCAGAGAGTTCCAAAAAACATCTGCTTCATTGACTACGCAAAAGCCTTTGACTTGGCAAAAGCCACAGCAAACTATGGCAAGTCCTTGAAGAAATGGGAGTGCCTGATGACCTGATCTATCTCCTCAGAAATCTATATGTGGAACAGGAAGCAACCATTAGAACTGGATATGGAACAACTGATTGGTTCAAAATTCGGAAAGGAGTACGACAAGGCTGTATATTGTCCCCCTGCTTATTTAACTTATATGCAGAATACATCATCCGAAAGGCAGGACTGGAGGAATCCCAAACTGGAATTAAGATTGCCAGAAGAAATATCAACAACCTCCAATATGCAGATGATATCACTCTGATGGCAGAAAGTGAGGAGGAATTAAAGATCCTCTTAATGAGGGTGCAAGAGGATAGCGCCAAAAATGATGTGAAGCTCAACATCAAAAATAAGACCGTGACCACTGGTCCCATCACCTCCTGGCAAACAGAAGGGGAAGATATGGAGGCAGTGACAGAGTTTACTTTCTTGGGCTCCAAGATCACTGCAGATGGTGACAGCAGCCACGAAATTAAAAGATGCCTCCTTCTTGAAAGGAAACCTAGACAGCATCTTAAAAAGCAGAGACCTCATCTTGCCGACAAAGGTCCGCATAGTCAAAGCTATGGTTTTTCCAGTAGTGATGTATAAAAGTGAGAGCTGGACCATAAAGAAGGCTGACCACCAAAGAATTTATGCTTTTGAATTGTGGTGCTGGAGGAGACTCTTTAGAGTCCCCTGGACTGCAAAGACATCAAACCTATCCATTCTGAAGGAAATCAAGCCTGAGTGCTCACTGGAAGGACAGATCCTGAAGCTGAGGCTCCAACACTTTGGCCATCTGGTGAGAAGACTCCCTGGAAAAGACCTTGATGTTAGGAAAGTGTGAAGGCAAGAGGAGAAGGGGACGACAGAGAATGAGATGGATGGAGAGTGTCACTGAAATGACAAACATGAATATGACCAAATTCCAGGATGCAGTGGAAGACAGGAGGGCCTGGCATGCTCTGGTCCATGGGGTCACAAAGAGTTGGAAAGACGTAATGACTAAACAACAACTTTGTGCAAGGGAAGTGCCAGGGCAGGACTGCAGACGAAACTTGTTAGGTGCCATTAGGTCATCTCCAACTCATCTACCTTCTTAAGAACTCCAAAATATCATGGCCACAACAGTCCTGCTCAGCTGTTATAAACAGAAGCCTTTGGCTGTAAGGAATCAGTCCATCTCCTATTTAGCCTTCCTTTTACCTTGTTGCCTTCAGCCTTTCACAGACAACCTTTATTATCTTTTCCAGATAATCTTGTCTTCTCATGATTTGCCTAAAGTAGGACAGACTCACTTTCAACATTTTTGTCTTTTGTTGTCTTCTTTAAAAACTTATGTCCCACACAGTAACCAGCCAAATAGAGTGGAGGGGAAAAGGAGAAGGAAAATATATTAAGCCTTGAAAATAACTTGATGCTGGGTTTTGCCTATCTTTCTGTTTTAAAGTTCTAAATGCCTTTAATCATCATAATTATAGAACTGTACAGTTGGAAGGGACCCTATGGATCATCGAGTCCATGGTTGTCAAGGAGACACTGTGAATTGCTTATTCAAATCCAGATTTAGAAACAGATTTTGAACTACCTGTAATTTACTGTTATAAGCATTACTTGTTTTAACATTGAGCTCCCCTCATGGGAGGAAGGGTGATACAAAATTCATAAAGTAAAATAAAACAAGCAACTTATATAGGCTTTACAGTTAAACAGTGCAATGCCGCAAAAGTAAGATTGCTAACAAATACGCGGGTGGGGGGAGGGAGAAAGATGCTCTAATATAAGCAGATCTTGCTCCCGTATTACGAATTCCGGATTTCTGCAAGAAGAGCAAAGAACCACAACAGACTAAGTCCTGCCCACTGTCGGGAAACGGAGGAAAACTGCGAGTTCGGGGCCGTAAAGCGACAGGAGGGGATCCACGTGGGACTCCGAGTAGGAAGCGGGACTAACATGGGGAAAAGGAAATCCCGACAGCAGCAACAACAGCAGCAGCTGATCAGCAATTTGAGCAAGAAGCAAAAGAAGCATCTCAAAGATTTCGGAGAGGAACACCCTTTCTACGATCGGTGAGCGGTGCTAGCAACAGCTTCAGAGTTGAAACCGGATGCTACTGGCGAGGGAGGGTGTCCGTGGATTCGCAGCATTTCCTTTAGGTCAGCGGTCCTCAACCCGGCGCCATCCACAAATGTTAGGCTACGCTGGCTGTGGATGATAGAGGTTGGAATCGAGCCCTTTTGGGGGACGAGGGAGAGAAGGTCTGTTTGTAGGTGTGTTTCTTGCCGAAAATGCTTTGCCTGGGTGAAGGCACTGCTTCTTTTGGTTAACGTTTGGATTCCAGGGGGGTTCAGGCTACAATATTTTGATCCGCAGAAATTTTCAGATCGGTCATTTGAATGCTTTTGGTAGACTGACCAGCGATTGTTGTTTGCTTTCGTCTCCTTTCCCGTGCATTATTTGTCTGAGTGATCAAGAGATGACCAAGAGCCCAGTTTTCACGGTACCTTTTGCAGTACCTTTTGCTTCTTTATTTCTTGAATTAATGTGCCTTGAACAAGAAGGGTTTCCTGGTCTCAGAGCCTTGGCTCAAGTCTTGGACAATTGTTCTCCTTTGGTTCTTGAGGCAGGCTAATGGATCTTATGATGACTGTGGTACTGGGAGGGAAAGCTTAGAATTTTGTCTGTAACGTGGGATTTTTGCTCTAGCAGGGCAGCAAGTGCTGCAGCTGCTGGCTGCAGTTTGCCATTTACCTGGCAGTTAAAAGATACTGGGGGTCCTCCTCCTTTCCTCAAGATGATGGAAAGGAGACACTGCAGGCAAGGTTGCTCCAAACTTTGCCTACAGTGTCTCCTTTCCATCATCTTGGCTCTGAAATCTGGCCTCAGGTATTAGGCCCGAATCTCAGGGAATGAGGTGCTTTTGATCTGTCAGTCCCATCAGCAAATGTTACTCATCCCTGTTCAGACAGTGCAGAGGATATACCTCAGTTGCTGAGGTAAATAGTTGTTTCTGCTTCAGCCAAAATTGTAGTTGTGTAGCCAGCGACCCCAAGGCATTTGCATTGTACAGATGACCCTAGAAGTTTTGGATTCCAGCTGGTTGCTTCTTTGCGTTCTCCAGCTTACATATGTTGAGGGACATTGACAAGGTTAGTGACTTAGCTTTTGCAACAGTTATTTGAACTAAAGATGTTCAGTTTTCAAAGGGTATTTCCTCACTAATTGTGGGCAGTTCTGTGGTGCTTTGAAATACCACAAAGCCAGTTTGCTCAGAAACAACACTTACAAGGTCATATAGGGGCTGAATCCTCAAAATACTTAAAAGTCCCTTAGGTCTTAGAGGACTTGGATTTGAGTAAGCATGTTTAGAACTGTTTCAGTAAAAACTGTCTCCAAGGTAGACATATATCATGAGTACCGTTCTTCCATGTTATTCGATGCAGGATTTTCTGATTTAGGAATATGAGTAGGTTGGGCTGCAGTCTGATTTCCTCCCCTTTGAAATAAAACTTTTCTGCAGCCATTTGGGAACCTTACATAATAGTTTCCGTTGAGATTGTTTTATCTCATCTCTTAGGCTGTTTTCTGCAATTCCACTTTCCCTGAAGGTGCGGCTCAGTTTAGGATTATAAGTACGAGGTTGTTTCTGCTCCCCAGTACCATTCTTGGAGGTGTCAAAATGTTGTTATTCAAACAGCAAGGAAATCTTTCACTATTGTAAAACTCTCTTTCTTGGAGAGGAACTTGGAGGGGAACTGTGTGAATCAGGGTCTGATCAGAATATCAGAAGTTGTAACAGATTATATTGAACAGTAATCTTTTTTAATTTTGCTTAGCTCAGTTATCAAAACGTGCAGAATTTTTTTTACCGGTCCTACAGTTCTAAGATTTTTGCTGCTGCTTTTGTGTTTGTTTTGCGAGTTAGGGTTTAAATAGTGAATTTGTCTCAGCAGTTTATATATCAGATACTTTAATAAATGTTAATTTAAAATTTTATTTTCAGGGATTCTGGGAAAGAAAAGCCAGCTCAAATTTGTAAACTAGTAAGTTTTGTTATTGTTACTATATATTATTATCATTATTATTTTCATTTCTCTCCGTCTTTCTCTCTGTAGGGAAACCCAAAGCAAATGGCTTTTAAAAAATAAACTAAAATTGAAATCAACTATAGTGGCCAAAATCCGATTAGTTGTGCTTGCTAGTTTAGTGCATTAAACATAAAACTCACTGGAAAATTGCCACATGTTAAGAAGTAAAGTAGGCATGTACTGATGCACACGAAATTGCATTACTTATTGGAGACACAGTTTTCCTGTGTCTCCACCAAATGCACATGTGAACATGGTGGAACTGAGAGAAAGGCTTTCACTTCGGTAGGGAAACACTGCTAGACCCAATTCATTTAGGGCTTTATATGTCAAAACCTGTACTTTGGCTTGTGCCTGGAAGTGGATAGGCAGCCACTGAAACTGGTGCAACAAGGGAATTATGGGATCCCTGTAACCATTGGCACAATACTTGGAACATGGAAAAGGTCATTGGGTTATAGTTGGCAAAATTTATGCACCAACTTTGTCAGAATAAAATTTAGTGTTCTTGTATCAGTTGGTAAGGAGGAGGAGATGCATCAGTAAATGTAGGGGTTTCCCATGGCATTTTGAATAATACCAATTTTAAATAAAAATTGACTGTGTTAATTGTCTTCATTAGGGATGGAGAGCTGTGGCCCTCCAGATGTCCAGCATGACAAAAGCAAATGTCTGCTGCTTATATACTATAGCAGTGGTCCCCAACCTTGGGCCTCCAGATGTTCTTGGACTTCAACTCCCAGAAATCCTGGCCAGCAGAGGTGGTGGTGAAGGCTTCTGGGAGTTGCAGTCCAAGAACATCTGGAGGCCCAGGGATGGGGACCACTGTACTATAGCACTTAAAGCAGTCTCTGAGTGTTTTACAGTTTAATTATGTAGGCTACACATTGCTACCACCAAGTAAACTGGGTGCACAAGTTTACCAACCTTGGAAGGATGGAAGGCTGTGAACTTCAAGCTGGCCTACATGGGATTGAGCCAGGGTCGTGAGCAGAGTTTTGGCTGCAGTACAGCAGTTTAACCACTATCCCATGAGGCTCCAGCAATCAGGGATGATAGTAGTTCTAGTCCCAAACATGACTTTTGATTCTTCACCATTGAGTATACTGAGGAGGACTGTAGAAAATTATGATCTGACATTTGGAGTTTACAAAGCTTCATGCAACCCATATTCTGATTTGTGTAAGATAATGTCACTTGTTTGCTTGGTAGTGTGTCTGTTGTGAGATATTTTTCTTTCTCCCTCACTAGTCAGAAAATTCCAACCAGTCAAGCTCAGAAAGTGATGCAGAGAATGATTCAGAACAGGTCTCCATGTATCATAAGCTACTGGCCACGTTAAAGACCATTCCAGATTCAGACAATGAGGAAGAGGAGGAATCAGAAGAAGAAAGTGATGAAGATGAAATAGAAGAGGACAGTGATGAACATGAGGAGGAAAGAGAAACAGGGGACGAAGGAAATGCCCCAGAATCAGAATCAGGTAGAGTACTCAAATCCTGGTTTTCATGATTTCCTGGGGGTGGGGTGGTATAAAATGGATAACCACCTCCACCTGACCATTCCCTCCCCCCACTAGATTTACAGCATGCATATGCCTTTCTTCTCTGTCATGGGCAAACAGGGCAGGCCCTGCAATCAGGCAAAGTGAGGCAGCCACCTCTAGTGGGGGATGAATATTAGAATACAGACCTGTGTGGACCATGTATCCTGCCCTAACTTAGCCTGCTCCACTCATTGCTTGGTGGGAAGGTACCATGCCATCTCCAATAGAAAAATTAGATTCAGCTGTAACTCCACTCGGCTTCTGTATTGGGAAGGAGGAGGATGTCTTGTCCTTTACCTCATACACAAAAATGCTGTGGGCAAGAAATGTGCCTTGTAATTGGCTGGTGTCAGAGCAGGCAGAGCAATCCAAATGCAGAGCCAGGAGACCATGGAGGAGAGAAGCTGGAGTAAGTGGAGCTCCTGAGGATATGTTAGAAGGGAGTGAGGAGGAGAGCAGTGGCCCAAAAAGCAGGAGGTAGAACAGTTTTATTGGTCCCTCCAATGAGCGTCCCAGTTCATTCCTCTCTTTTCTGAATCAGGAGTGTGTCAGCTCATTACTGTTTCTCCTTCCCACATTTGAACTGTGCTCACCTATAAGGGCTTCTAAGCAACTGGATGAGATAGAGCCCAGGTGCCAGATTAGCGAAAGCAAATGCTGTTCTTCTGTCAAGTCTGAACAATATTATGTTGCCAGACCTAATTTAGAAGAGGCTTTTAACTGGTGGACTTTGTGCATGTGTTTTTAAATTGGTTTAAATTTTGTTTTGGTTTAATGTTATTAACTGTTTAATAGTGTCTTTTAATATAATTCGCCACTGAAGAAAGAAAAACCCACAATACAGTGTTATTTTATTCAATAAAATTCAATGTCTGTCTGGTGATGGTTGTTGTCTTAATGGAGGAAGGTAAAAAAAATCCTCCAGACCTTCACAATTAAGTTGCTGAACTGGACATTGTTTACCACCATGTGCTTTCATAAATATCTCTTGTAAACTGCTTTGGTAACTACAACTATCACTTGTTTTCTAATGTAATGTAAAACAAATCTGAAATTTTATTAAAACAAATCACAGTTTTTAAAAACATATGGAATGGGTCTTTGAAAGGTAAAACCTGTATCTCAATTGTGAAAAAAAGGTTGTTAAATTATAGTATATAAGCTTTTTTGCTTACATACTGTGAACTGTAAATTGAAGGTTGAAATCAAAATGAATAAATTATTTGAGAACTTACAATCACTGAGGTTAATGCAGTTCCATTCAGTGGCTCCTCACAGGCACCTGATTCATTATTCCTTTTCATTTTTGATTTGTCATAGGTAAAGAAATTCTGTCACAGGAAAATAATCAGGAGGAGCCAGAAGATTCAACTACTTCTATTAACCTAAAACATGAAGATATTGAAGAATTTACTGATGCAAAACATGAATCTGAATTTAGCCTGGAAACCAATTTTCCAGAAGAGAGTGAAGATGCTAGTGCAGATCAGAAAGAAGGGAGTTCTGCTCCAGAAGTGGTAAAAGGTAGAGTTTACTAATTTATTTATTTTTTTTTATTTATTTATTTGATTTATATCCCGCCTATCTGGACTACTCGATCACTCTAGGTTAAAAAGGAGGATGAGTGGAGGCTACAAGCCAATTGGAGACCAGATATGCCTCCTGATTGCAGAGCCTGCTTGAGCCTGTTCAAACAGGACTGTCAAGCAGTCAGCAGAGACACTTAATACCTACTGAACTCTGTCTTGTGCCGTTCTTGGGATATTTTGGACAACAACTTCCAAAAGTCTCAGGTAGCATGGCCAACAGAGATAATGGGAGTCATAACATCTGGAAGGTGCTCATCTGTGAACCTTCCAAACTAGGTATAATCTCTAGAAATATTGTCCATTTCATGTTGCTGTTCTTTGTGCTGCAGAGGGGTCCCATCACATATCTTTGAAGACATGTTTTTCATGTGGTGTTAGATTTCTAATTATTGGCAGAGTTTTAATAACCGTTTGTTTCTGCAAGTGGCTGTTGCTCGTTTTGAGTAATCAGTTCTTTTTAAACACTTTATAGCTGATTTTTTTAAAAAATACCAGTCACTCGCATAACTGTTTCAAATCTCTTGGCACAGATCCATTTCAATGTCATATGAGTGAAGAACTGGATGAAACAGAAATAGATGAAATACTTACACGCTCAAAATCTGCTAGCCAAATGAAGGTAATAATCCATCCTGTTTCCAAATTTGGATCTGTTTCTTGAATTTGTTACTTGGATTCAATGGAGAGTGTCCGCTTGTGTAGCTGCACCTTCTCAATGGAGTCAGCAGAAGATTGCTGTTGATTAAAAAGTTACTTTTTCAGTTTTAGGGTGCATGTGACTTGAATACAATGAAATGAATTTGCACACACCCTGAAATAAAAAAGGAAACCTTTAATCAGCAGCAGTCTGCCACTGATGAAGAAATAATTCCAATTAAGCTGATGACCAAAATACTGGTCAATGTATATAAGTTAAAAAAATTTTTTTGGAAACTAGTCGATGCATAAGTGGTGCTCACCTTCATTAAAAAAAGAGAAGGCAAGATCTTCACAAAGTCTCTGAGAAGATAAATTGAAGTTCAGTTCCATTTTCTTTTTTAAAATAAGGTTACATTGATCTATAGGGATAAAATAAAATTCCAAAACTGCTAGTAAGTGGTTCATTTTTTAGGATCAACAATAAATGCACAAAATACTCAGGTATTTGAGTTAGAATTCTTCCTTAAGTTTAAGGTAAAACAACAACAACACCTTGTTTTAAGGGTGGTTCAAACACTAAAGTTCAAAAACATAGCTATTTTAAACTGCAGAGCTGAACTGCAAAATGTGATTTGATGAGTAAGAGAACCTCACAAATGTCATATAACCTCTGGCAAAGCCAGCTGGGAAGAAGACAGTGTGGAGAGTCTCCACTGTAAACTGAAAAACAACAGTCACTTGAGAGCCTGCATTGAGCCTTAAGTGAAACACACAGATTTGAGGGTTATGGCAGGTTTGTTCTGCTACACTTAACTTGTGTTTGTCTTCCTTTTAGTGGCCGGTGCTGGGCCAGCTAGTGGTTTCTTCTTCATCAGAGAAGTTTGGAATGATTAAGCCATACAAAGAAGTGGATCTGAAACAGCTTCATCTTCAAAAGCCATTAGGATCCACTTGGCCAAAAGTGAACAACCCATTCCTTTCAAAGCAAGCCAGTACAAAAGATCAGCCATTCACTGCATTGCAAAAAGAGCTCTTCTGCATTATGAATTCATACAAGGACTTGTTTTATCCAGAGAGGACTGCTTTAAGAAATGGGGAGGAAGTTCGCCATGCCTACTGTCTCCATGCCTTAAACCATGTCTTGAAGGCAAATGCACAAGTGCTTAGCAATAATGCTAAGCGAAGGGATCAGAAACCTGGCATTGATGATGATAATTTCAGGGATCAAGGACTCACAAGACCAAAGGTGAAAGTACTTTAATGAATGTATAGTTATTACAGTGGTACTGTAGAGTTCAAAGTTCTTTCATATTGCATTATGAGTCCCTAACCAAAGGTGAAAGTACTTTAATGAATGTACATAGTTATTGCAGTGGTACTGTAGAGTTCAGAGTTCTTTCATATATATACCTTAATGTGGTACAAAACCATTCGTGATATGGTGGTTACAAGGAACAGCCTTGTTTGTATTCTCTTGTCATATGATAAACTAAGGATCTCCACTGATTTATTCCATCAGTTTAGAAGTGTCATGCATTAAGGTATCAAGTGATGCCACCTATCAAATCTCCCTTCTTATTGCATTTATTCAATTTGTAAAAAGCTGGGCCAGTTTTGCTCTTTAAACTCGGTTCCGAAATTTATGTCATTGAACACCAAAATAGAAAAAAATGTTTCTCCAGGATTTATCTTTAGAGGCAGGGATGGTGGATTATGGTAGATCTTGGATCCACCTTCTTTGCCCTGGATTCCCAAAGGCCACCAAAATAATGCTAGAAAACACAAAAGAAGAAAGTGGAAATGATGGGGCCTTCATTTCCAGTTTGAAAATTGGCATTTTGAGATGTTAAATTGATTAAGGTGAATATTCTGTCCTTATTAAATGTGAATTGCCATTCCTGGAAGGCTCTAGCTACAATTCACTGTTTTAGGGGCCTTTTTGTGGGAAGGAGAAGGGAGTGGGAGAGTGCTAGGAGGCTGCAGAAACAACCTTTGGGGACCATGTGTGGCTCTAGGGATACTCATTGCCTGCCCTGCTTTAGAGGTTCTTAAACTTTGTTTTTAGTGACACTGAAACCAGGTGGGGTTAGCCATCGGTGGCCAGTATCTGACAGTGTGGATTAAAAAAAGAACCCTTTCTCACAAAATATGGAATGGGTTGTGTTTACGTTTCTCTACATAGGTATTGATGGTGGTGCCGTTCCGAGAATCTGCTTTACGTGTTGTGCACATTTTAATCAACCTTCTTGAATCAGCAAATAAAAAGAAAATCGATGTGAGTAACAAAAAACGGTTTAAGGGAGAGTTTGGCTCAGATCCAGATGAGAAGCCTCCAAATCTGAAACGGCCAGAAGATTATGAAGCCGTTTTTGCTGGAAACATTGATGACCACTTCAGGATAGGTAATGGAATCCTGTGATCAGTAGCTTACGTATTTAAACAGTGTCAGAGTTCAAAGCATGTTATTGTCTGTTACTTTTTTCCTGCATGCCAAATTGAAACCATGCCAAATGTCCCAGCAGTGACCACATGGTGCATTAAGTCATTCTGGCATAAGAAATAGAAACTGGAAAAAGGATTTGATGCTTCCTTTTGTAAGAATAATTAGTTTGCAGATAAACTAACCAGGAAGGAAGTCACTTTGTGTGTTGTCCTCAGTAGTGAGCAGATTTCATTTATTTATTTATTTATTTATTTTATTTCTATCCTGCCTATCTGATCATATTAGACCACTCTAGGCGGCTTACAGTAAAAACAACAATGTAATTTTAAGACTTTACAGCAGAAACGTAAATAAAAAAATAAAGAACAGAATAAGAAAAAAAAAAAAAAGATCATCAAGGGTTTTCTGTTGGGAAGGCCCGCCTATACATCAATGTTTTTAGTTGTTTCTTAAAAATGCCCAGCGATAAATAAATAAATAAACCATTCATCATGACCCTTCGGGTTCCAGGAGACTCTCAGATTAGTGTGTTGTCCTCAGTAGTGAGCAGATTTCAGGCTTGTGAGATCGACTTTGTCTTTCCGGTTAGAACTTTTAGGTCCACCATCCAGAGTTAAGTGCACAAAAGGAAGAAAGGATGAATGCAGAGATTTATTCCATGTGTGGGCTGCATGTATTCCCTCCAACACTCCCCCCACACCCAGTCTTTAAAATAAAATTTTAAAAAATTGCTTCAAAATCCCCTTGTGACCTCAAAGGGAATTGGGGAGATTTTGACATGTTGTGAGGGCTTTCAGTACCCGTGTCTCTACTCATGTCCAAAATTTTGTTTGAAAGCCCAATTTTTGGAGATAGAGGGGGGAAATTATATGTAGTAGTTATGAAACCATTCATCATGGAGGTGGTTGACCCAGTTTAGAACTGTGAACTAGGGAATCTTTTGAATACATTCAGCACAGAAATGTGCTTTCACTACTAGAACTAAGCTTAAAACTTTTTCTGTAAAGTAGCAGTCCCTGCTATTTTTTGGATCAAGTTAACTTGCTAAGGAAAAACCTTGTTGTGGTTCTTACTCTGGGTGTCAGAACTCCAATTTGATAAGTACTATTCTTGATTCATTATGTTGCTAATAATTTTCAAATGGCAGTAGCTTTTCCTTGTTTTTAAAAAAATCTGCATGAAAAACTCCATTCCATTGACTCTCACCAATGGGGGGGGGGAAATCCCCAGAGCATCAGAAGTTACTTTGGTTTGGTAGAGTGTGTCTAGCTCCCTTATCCTTTTAGTATGTTTCAGTGGAAGAAGATACAAAGGAAAGGAATGATTAACACACAAAATTTGTGAGCTTCCAAAATCAAATTGTGTTATGTCATTTCATGAGTCCAAACTGTGATGAGAGAATTGGGCAGCTCTGCTGACCCAGCCGGTTGCTTCATTGCAAGGTGGTGATATATATACCCTGTGATCACATAGAAGACCAGGGCAGAGTGTCCTCCACTGTGTTCTGCTTCATTGCAAGGTGGTGATATATATACTGTACCCTGTGATCACACAGAAGACTAGGGCAGAGTGTCCTCCACTGTGTTTGGCCTGCATTTCCTGGCTACCTCTTGCTTGGTTGTTTAACAGCCCAGGTTCTATACAAGAAGAGAAACCAGGAATGATGGCAATCACAGGGTCAACTTGGAATATGTGATGGCCTCATGTCAAGTTGCTATAACTTGATTGTGCATTGTACAATGACATACCAAAGCAGTCATTAAGAATGGCTACAGAGAAGCTATTATTATCCATTTATTGTTCAACTCCAAATTCTGTCATTCCTGTGATGGAAGGGTGGGCAAACAGAGGTCTAGAGAGGGAGTGCATATATTTTCTACTTGACATTGGAAAGCTGAACCCCACCCCCAAATACTTTATTTAATTTATTTTTAACTGAAAGGGTTACTTTGCACTTTATAGTAGCTGGGAGCAACAATTATTCTTGAGCTGCTGTTGTTTTTTAACTTCTCCTCAGCTCAAAACAGTTTGCTGAGGTGGAGGAGTGCAAGAAACATGGTGAAATTTCTCCCAAAGCCATGGAGGCCACAAAGGAACTGATCTATATGTAATGGAGTGGATCTTGCATATATCCAGGATATTTTGTCGAAATGATCTTAGAAGTCATGAGGGAACTAAAGCTGAATTTGATTGCCATGTTGAGACCTATAGCTGTTAATCAAACAGCACCTGAAGAAAGGAGAAATTCAATAACCCAGATACAGTGGTACCTCGACTTACGAACAGCCCAACATAGTGACCATTTTGAGTTACGACCAGCTCCGGCCGCAAAATTTTGTTTCTACTTGAGACCGGAGCTCCAAGTTACAACCAGGAAAAGGTGGGGAATTCAAATTGGTAACCATTGGTGGCGAAGAGGCTGATTCTTTGTAGCTGTTTCACCCCAGCAGTTAGAGTGTGTGATTGGAGAAGGCTTCGGACTGCCTGGTAATGTAATGTGCTGCTTTCTATTTTTAAAAAACTGTTCTGGGTGGGTTTCGCAGTGTGGTTTTGGGCTGGGTGGTGGGATTATGTTTCTATGCTGTGATGGGTCTTCAGGGTTTGTTTGCTTTTTGGGTTTGTTTTTCCCCATTTCCGATAGGTCTTGCAGCGTTTGTTTTTTGGGGCCCCCCCATTTCCGATGGGTCTTGCAGGGTTTGTTTGCTTTTGGGTTTGTTTTTCCCCATTTCCGATGGGTCTTGCAGGGTTTGTTTGCTTTCTGCTTTCCTTTTTTGCATTTCCAAAGTGTCTTGCAAGGTTTGTTTGCTTTTCTTTTGTTTTTTCCTTCGGCCGGAACAGATTAATTGCGTTTCCGAAGGGTCTTACAGTATTTTGTTTTTGGTGATTTTTTTCTTCAGCCGGAATGGATTAATTGCATTTCAATGCATTCCTATAGGAAATGTGGTGAATATACAACCATTTAGAATTATGACCGGAGTTCTGGAACCAATTAAGTTCATAAGTTGAGGCACCACTGTATAAGGTTAATGTGCCAAATGGTGATCATGTAGTTACAACACTGTGATTTCCAGCTGAGTTCTTGTACGCCTCAGTGAGGTGCAGTGAGTCTAAATGTCGACTGAGCAGAAAGTGCCAAGACCATTTCAGGAATCTATAATTTCATGAGGGTTTAATGCCGTGTACTCTACACAAATTTCTCCTATGGCCTGGTGTCTAGGATTGTATGTGTGAGAAGGCAGGCTTCAGGCTCGGTATTCCCAAAGATACTACATAAGGTATTAGCGAACACAATAAGAATGTCAAGTAATACTTATTATTACCACTGGCAGGCTTCACCTTAATTAAGGCAAGTTGCTGAATGGTTCCCTTCAGTTTTCCTTCCTTTGCATATCTATGAGCCAGGCTGAAAGAAGAAGAGTCCCCTTAACAGCACTTGATAAACATGGGTTGTTTCTTGTCTGCAGTTGCCACTTCAGCCCTGCACTATAATAGGTTTAGAACAGAGGCCAGTATTATATATATGGGCCCTTCAGGTATCTTAGTAGCTCTCCCAGGTGCTGCTTTCAAATTAGCAGCAGCTGCTGCCATCGCCTGCTTTTTCACTTGTAAACATGAGGGTACATGCCTTGTTTCGAAGGGAAATGATATTTATTCTTCTTAAAAAGAGGACTAATGTGTTCCATCAGAAAAAACTGGCCTTTCTCCATTGCCGAGATAAGCCAGTTTTGCCACTAGTAAGTGTCCTTGCAGGGCTAATGTTACTATGGTGATGGCAGCAAATTCAAGGGTGGGATATAGCCCTCCATAGGTTTGGAGGAGTTTTCAGAGGCAGCCCCCCCCTCCAGAGGTTACCCCTTTCCATGTCCATTTCCAGTCTTCAAAAAAACAAAAGCCAAATGTCTTGTAAATTTAATAAGAGTAATGCATGCCCTTTAAAAGTAGTTTGGAAATCGGAATGCTTTTTGGTCAGTTTAACTGTAGATTGTGAATGCACAATGATGCAGTTTTTTATATGTTCTCTTAGAAATAGACTTCTCACTGCTCATAGGGGCTTGCTCCCAGTTAAGTTTGACGAGGGTTGCAAGCTTGTATTTAAAGCCTCTTATCTGAACTGGTTTAAATCCCCCCCTTGATGTCTTTTCAGGATTTCAGCCCCATGCTTTTGGTCAGTTTAACTGTAGATTGTGAATGCACAATGATGCAGTTTTTTATATGTTCTCTTAGAAATAGACTTCTCACTGCTCATAGGGGCTTGCTCCCAGTTATGTTTGATGAGGGTTGCAAGCTTGTATTTAAAGCCTCTTATCTGAACTGGTTTAAATCCCCCCCTTGATGTCTTTTCAGGATTTCAGCCCCATGGTTGTCACAACTTGAGTAGACCCACTGAATCAGTGGAATTGAGATACCATTCTGCATTAGACTCAATGAATTCACGCTAGCTGGGGCTAGCAGCTAGATTCAGGCCATAGATTCTAGCAGGCCAGCTTCAAGTTGAAATGAGCATTCTCAAAAGCCATTTGAGTCATTCTTACGGCACTAACCCACCAACAAAAATAGGTTCTTCAATCACTTGTTTGCTTCCTGGTTCCTGTTATTTAACTATTGAACAATGATGTGTATGTGTGTGTGTGTGTATTTGAACAGGTGTTGCTGTTCTTCAGAAGAGTATGCGACTCTATGCGCCATTTTATTCTTCTGATATCATCATTGCATCTCCCCTCGGCCTGAGGACTGTAATTGGAGCTGAGGGGGAGAAGAAGCGAGATTATGATTTTCTCTCATCAATAGAAGTTCTTATAATTGATGAAGCTGATGTTTACCTAATGCAGAACTGGGAGCATGTTTTGGTAATGATTTTTTAGCATATTATTCTATATAAACCATGATAAAATGTGGCCATGTTCACAGATAAGATACAGCCATGTTCACAGAAGTAGCCATGTTTTTTGGCAGAATCAAAAATGAAAGTACTGTAGCACCTTTAAGACTAGTGAATATATTTCATTGTGTGGTTTTGTGGGTTACAGGCCACTTCTGAGGATTGTAAGCCATAGAAATCCATAAGTCTTAATTGTGTCACAGTATTAATTGGTTTTGTTTTGTTTGTAAGATGCATCATCTACAGTGCCATCCTTACCATTAGACAGAACAAAGTTTTTGCCTCAGGTAGTGGACGATGGGAGGCAGCAGCAACATGCCACCTGGGCTGATGGGATGCTCTAAGGGTGCTTCAAATAGATCTGGATAGATGTGAGAAATTTGGAAAAGCAAATGACCTTTGTGACGCCTCCTTTCTCCATATTGAGAATATTCCATATTTCTTCTTTCTCCTGTAGGAACAATAAAACTAGCTAAAATATTTTAATTTTAACCATTCTAAAAACACCCACTTGTTCACTATTGGAGTTATAACAAATTGGATTTCTGGAAACTTTCAACCATGAAGAGAGAGCTCCAGTTTCTAGGATGCTGCAGAAGCAGAATTTCACAAATGACTCTTGAGAAGGAACTAAACCTTCCCAGAAACAATAGTGGAAGTTTAAATCTGCAAAGAACAGAGTGTTTCATTTAATATTCCCAGTCACTATTATGATTCCCCCTCCTTTTCTTAATGTTGCATCTAGACTTCAGACAATGTTTTTTTCTTTTATTTTTAATATGCTCACAGCACCTGATGAATCACCTTAATCTGTTACCTTTGGAATCTCATGGAGTGGATTTCTCACGGGTGCGAATGTTCAGTTTAAATAACTGGTCAAAGTATTATCGCCAGACCCTGCTGTTTGGTGCCCTCCAACATCCGCATATCAACTCCATCTTCAATAAGTACTGCTTCAATTACAGGGGACAGGTGAGTGTGTTGAGATAGAGAAGAGCCCACTCCAGGTACCACAAGCAGGTGAAATGTGCCACCTGTTTACAAAAATACAGGCCCTTCTTTGGAGTGACCTTGCGTTTGGAACGCTTTTCTGAGGAAGACACAATTGTTTTTACTTTCATTTTTAGATAAGAATTGATCTCAGATATTCAAGCCTGACATTATTTTTATTTCACTTCTGCCATGGTTTCTTGCAGGTAGCTGTAAGGAACGTGCCATTGACGGGCTCCATCAGTCATGTTGTGGTACAGCTTCCTCATGTTTTTCGCAAGCTGGAAGCTGAGAATTCTGTTTCTGTAATAGATGCAAGGTAGGGCGGCCTTTTGTGCTATGCTCCACCTACTGTATGACAGCTACAATTTTTCTGATATCAGTGTAGCAGACTGGAAAGTGTGGGTTTTCTAATATTTTAAAAAAGTAAACCATCAAAATCTGATGACAATATATATTAATCTAAATATTTAATCTGTCCTCTGCTGTGGTATAGAAAACTAGTATCCGTAAATCAGAAACAAACTTCTTCACAGGATCCTTATACAGCTAAAATGACACCATGTACAAGATGGGAACAGGCTTGGGGAAGCCCTAGAGTTTGCAAGAATACTAGAAAAGCAAACTAGGAAGCCCTAACAATTGGGCACAACCCATGGGGTGACTCAATGTGGCTAATGTCAAGTGGGCACAGAATACTAACTTGAACCTAGATTTTGTCAGGTTCCTGCTCACATGTAAAGTCTTGAACCTAGATTTTGTCAGGTTCCTGCTCACATGTAAAGTCTGTGCTCAAGCAGGAACTTCTCTCTCTCACTCAGTTATTCACTCACTGTTACTCACACCTGTCAGGTTCCTGCTCACATGTAAAGTCTGTGCTCAAGCAGGAACTTCTCTCTCTCACTCAGTTATTCACTCACTGTTACTCACACCCTCACATATGTCAGAATTTTGTATTAGCTGCAGTACAGCGTTTTAACCACTGCGCCACGAGGCTCCTCACTCTGTTCACTCACTCTGTTACTCACTCACACACTCACATATGTCAGTTTTGAATTTTGTATGTATAGAGTGTTGAAGTGATTAATGGAATTGTGAAAAAAAGCAACTTGGAAAATATGTACAGTATTGTGCTAAGAAGATGAACGTTGAACAGCAGTTGAAAAGTGAAACAGTCTGCCAGCTCTTCAGCCAAGTCTGAAAGCAAGGCTATAATAAGCTCTTGTATTTTGGGGTTGAAATATATGTTTTTGTCTGTAACTTTTATAGCTAAAAACTTATAACTGAAATGGATTGTTCTGACCCAAGTTCTGCCTCATACAACTTAAGTTTTGCTTTGGCATTTCTTATTTGCAACTTTTCATAATTGAAAAAATATTTGATGGCAATCATATCTGCAGCTTTTGACAAAGTTCAAGAATCGATTTCTATTTAAGCATCTATGCCTATAGTTTTTCATAGCTGTAAGACTGATTTCTGAAATACCGTATGCGTGTAGCTTCTTAAAAATTACAGGCTGAAAAATGTATAAACAAGCATACAGATAAAATATTGTGGCATTTTTGCAACTAGCACATTTTATTGCCAGTTCGGCTTTCATAGATAACGGCACACGTCTTCAGACACACATGTCGGGTCAGAAAGTCTGATGCCTAAACAGTTCTCTAGGAATCCGACAGAACTTTATAGAACCCCTAGAAATCTATTTTAATAATTTGCTCCTTTGTTTGGGCATTTTATCATTTGTAAACATGTTCAATTGTTAGACATGAAAGAAATTCTTTCATAAGGCAATGTTACTTCCTGTACAATGACCTTGCTTCCAGACTGAGCTGGAGAGCTGGCTGATTGATTTGCAGTGACTTTTTAAACTGGTGTTCAAACCTCATTTTAGAAATGCAGTATCCAGTTTAAAAAATGCAGTATTCCAGTTTGGAAACCAGTTTCAGGGCTGCTTTCCTTATATTCCCCCCCACCCCAATTATTGTAACACTCATTACACTCAAAATTCCACATCTTGGCACACAGAAATCTTCTCCACGTCTGAAGAAGTGGATTGTAATCCACAAAAACTCATACTGAAATAAAATTTGTCAATCTAGAGGTGCCATAATATGTTGGGTTGTTGTTGTTGTCTAAAACAGAGTAACCAGCTGCCTCTCTGAACAACTATTTTATTTTCTTAATCAGGTTTCATTTTTTCATTGAGAAAGTGCTGCCTGAGTATCGTGATGCAGTCATGTCACATACACTCATCTACGTTCCTTCCTATTTTGATTATGTGCGTCTTCGCAACTATTTCAAGAAGGAAGAGCTCAGTTTTACACATATATGTGAATATACCAGTAAATCCGGCATTTCCCGAGCAAGGCAATTCTTTCTAAAAGGAGATAAACAATTTCTAATTTTGACAGAACGTTTCCACTTTTATAAAAGGTAAGTTGGGTCCCTTAGATATTAGATATATTAGAACTACAAATCTGAAAAGGACCATGTGGATCATTGTGTCCAGCCCCTCTCAGGAAGGCACGGTGGGGAATTGAAATCCCGACCTCTGACTTAGCAGCCAGATATCAAAACCACCGAGCAATTCTCTTGGTGTCTGGCCTTATTGTAGGAGGGCTACATGAGGTCATACCCACTTTTATGTCAAAGAAATGAAAAATGAATATATTAAAATTACTGTACCAACATTATGGAAAGCTTCCTGTACTATCCTCCAGTTTTCTGAATTATGCATGACCACTTTACAATGCACGCTCTTGAAGGAATGGCCACTTACAGCTAATCACGACAAACCGGAACTAAAGGAATTCCAGCCTATTATAGGCAAGCCACTGTCCTGGCATGTCACCAGTAGGAGCAGCTAAAAAACTTGAAATCCATGGTTGATTTCCTGGTGACCTGCAGCCTCAGCAGGGAGTAATGGCTCTTTGGCTCATCTCTCCTCTGACAATGCAGATAATTAATCCAGTGTGTGTGGGGTATGTTTAATTATCTTGCTTGTTGTGAGGAAATAAGCCAGAAAGCTACTGACAATGCAGATAATTAATCCAGTGTGTGTGTTATGTTTAATTATCTTGCTTGTTGCGAGGGAAATAAGCCAGAAAGCTAGCTGCATCCTGAGTTTGTATGCCACAGTGAACAAATCAAAGTCTTTGATTGCTGACCCTTGACGAACCAGGATTCTTCTTTACAATGTACATACAAATGTTTGTTGTATTTACTCTTCAGTTCTAGAACCAAAGCTGCAAATTAGTTTGTGTGACAGTTACTGATTAAGGAGCTTATTGAGTGGTTTGGCTCTCTGAAAGGTATAGACCAGGACTCTGTACATGTTCCCTAAACCAGTTTGGAAGCCAGTTGAGGGTTCTGGATTGGAATCCGATTTGATCCAGAGAAGGTTGTGCCCTCTCTGATTTGATCCATGCCCTGTATCCAAATCAGATTGTAAAGCCTCCCATTGATTTGAGTTGGAAAACTAAAACAGCTGTTAAGTTCATGTTTGTCTGTTTGTTTCCTTGGTGTAGTTGAAATTTGGAGATTTGATAGATCTTAACTAGGAGAGCAAAGTTCACATATCTGCTTTCAGGATTCTGTGTACAGGTCAGTTTACTTTTTTTTAAAAAAAGGAGCAGGCTAAAGTGACTTAAACCCTTGGTTTGACATGTTTTGTATATTTGCTATACTTCTTCCTAAAACTAAATCTAGCCATTCAGTTTCCATTTGGGCCTCACAGAAATTGGTCCAAATTAGGCCATTTTGATTGATAAATTGGATTCTGGCCAAAACTAGTGCATAGACCCAGTTTTAGACAGTTGGAAAATATTTATTTGACTTATTAGAACATTTTCAAATGGTCCTTCCTCCTTGCAGATTCCAGAGCAGTGTATAAATATGTCTTGAAGCAGGAGTGAAAAAGTAATTAGGGCAATAAACACTCCAAAAGTATGTCAGCAAAATAAGAAAAAGCAGGAACAAGCTGATTCAGTTAAAATCCCCTAGTAAGAAGGATATGGGGCTGATTCTGAAAACACTGGTGCTGTCACACTTCTATTATTTTGGGCCCCTTAACTTAAAATAGTTTTATTCCTTGTTCACCCAAGTCCTATCCATATGTACCAAATTATGTGGAATATTTGTGCATAGAGGGGGAAGCTCAAGATCTGTTTCTTCTTTCCGAACATTTTATGTCCTCCTATCTGTGGAGGGTAGTAATGAGTCTGAACAGTGAGAACAGTAAGAGCTCTCCATATCAGTTGAGACTTTAACTTTACACACTTTCCCTCCAATTCAGAAAAGCGGAGGTTGGAAACTGTGAACTCTAGAATCCTTATGAACAACGTTCCCTCTAATTCTCTAGATTGCTGGGAATGGTCCCTGCCCCATGTGCACAAGGTTCTGGCCGTAACCAGAAGCAAATAGGCAGCAACATGACTTGGCTGTGCAGCTCTGATACAGCGCTATGCAGGTGTGCAGCTTAGAGGGAACACTGCTCATGAAGATTCTGGACATTGTAGTCAAAAAACTTAATTTGTTAAGCTCTCGCCCAAAATCATTTCTAGGTAAAAGCATCAGTGCTTTGGAGAAGACCCATATACGTTTTGCTTCAGTTCCCTTTTCATTTGTTTTCTGGCTAACTAGTTATAGAGAGACAGATAAAGAAATTCTTGATTTGTAGGCACCAATTCCTGTTAAACTATACATTTAAAGTTCCTTCTAACACACCCAAGAATTGGGTGGTATTCTTACTCTCTAAGTCCAGTGGCACAAACAAAGGTGGCTAGAATTAATACAGGAGACTGGGCTTTTAGGCTGTTGGCTTGTTAGATATCAGGCAGGGGGAGATTAGATGAGAAGTTGTTAGTGGATATTGGAAGAGAAAAGAATATCAACAGGAAAGCAAGGGGAGCTCTTCAGACATTCAGATACCATGCTTTTAATGGCTTGTGATATACAGAAACTACTTTCATATTCCTGGGTTTCAGCTCTACTCCTATACTAGTTTGGAAGCATTTGCAGTCTTCACTAGGTGAAAATCCAGGATTTGGGGATTCAGATGAATCACACAAACCATCTTTATTGCTGTTGAAATATATTGGCAGGACTTACCAAGAACGTTTATGTTATCCTTTTGGAAAGCAGTAGTTGCATAAATCTCTTTCCTTTCATTCAGGTACTCGATTAGAGGCATCCGGAACCTCATTTTTTATGAACTGCCAACCTATCCACATTTCTATAGTGAGGTCTGCAATATGATGAAATTGGCAGGTGGGGGAGAAGAAGCTACCTTGACCTGCACAGTGTTTTACTCAAAATATGATGCACAGAAGTTGGCTGCTGTGGTGGGTGTTGAGCGGGCAGCCCAAATGCTCCAGTCTCCCAAAAACGTACACCTTTTTGTCACTGGAGAAACAGAGTAAAATAAGGATTAAACTGACATTTTAATGAATGCCTTAGCCTCTTGCACAGTGTTTTTGCCGCCTGTATTTCTTCTGAAATGTGTGGAATGAAGGTTAATACAACTTGATATAGAAATAAAGTTTGTAGAAACATGTGAGTTTCTTCTGTGTATCATGAGAATGCCAAAGCGCAGGTTAAACTGTGACATCTTTTGTACAGGATAATTTCTCATAGTTTTCTCTACTCCAGTTAATATATTCTGACTAGTTTAAACGACAATTCCATTCATCCTTGCTGTTGGCCATGTTGGCTGTGGCTTATGGAAGTTGTTCAAAACATCTGGAGAATGCCTGTTTAAGGACAGCTGTTCTAGTCCAATGCCTTTGCTCATGTTTCTGAAAAGGATAGCAGTTCTTAGTACTCTTTTTCTTCCAATTATTTTGGGACTGTCTAATGTCTAGCATTGCCCTATTATCAATGAGGAAACAAAAGGTGAACCACATCTTACTCCCTTATGAAATAAGAGGTAAAAGTTATAAACTAGAAATAAGGGGATTTTGAACCATTTTACTCAGTTTATTTATGAGTTCGTGTACCACTTTCTGTGGGCTAAACCGCAGAAGCCTGTGCTGCAGTGTCAAAAGACCAGCAGTCGTAAGATCGAATCCACGCGATGGAGTGAGCTCCCATCGCTTTGTCCCAGCTACTTGCCAACCTAGCAGTTCGAAAGCATGTAAATGCAAATAGATAAATAGATACCATCTCAGTGAGAAGGTAAAACGGCATTCCCTAGTCACGCTAGCCACGTGACAGCGGAAACCTGTCTTCGGACAAGCGCTGGCTCTACTGCTTGAAAAGAGTCAGACACAACTGGACTAAAAATGTCAAGGGGAATCTTTACCTTTTAACTTTCTGTTAAAAAAAATTCCCAGCAACTAAAAGAATAAAATGGTACAAATTCATTAAAAACAATTCATTAAAAAGCAGTGTGACTGGCATTAACAATATCAGTAATCACAAAAATGGCTGTAAGCATAAAGAGATCAAGATTCAATTCGCAATGGAAACATTGAAGATGCTGAGCTTGCCTAATCTCAGTGGAAGACTGTTTTACATAAAGGCCAACATAATAGTGAAGGTCCTCCTCCGCAGTGCAACCAAATGAGCCAGCCTTCCAAACAATAGGCAGAGCACCTCCTCCATATCACAACCAACATGGTCTGTATGGCAGAAGGCAGTCACAGATACCCTGGTCCTGAGCTGCTGAGGACCATATAAACCAAAAGTAGCACCTTCAGTGGGAGACATGGTGGCGCTGCGGGTTAAACCACAGAAGCCTCTGTGCTGCAGGGTCAGAAGACCAGCAGTCATAACATTGAATCCACAGGACGAAGTGAGCTCCTGTCACTTGTCCCAGCTCCTGCCAACCTAGCAGTTCGAAAGCATGTAAATGCGAGTAGGTAAATAGTGCCACCTTTGTGAGAAGGTAAAATGCATTCCGTGTCTAGCGTGCTGGCCACGTGACCACGGAAACTCTTCAGACAAAACACTCGCTGTATGGCTTGGAAACGGAGATGAGCACCGCGTCCTAGAGTCAGACACGACTGGACTAAATGTCAAGGGCAACCTTTACCTAGCACCTTCAGTGGCTCAATATTTAACTGTTGACCTGGGCAGGTCTTTCAGCACAGAATACACGTCTGCATGGTTGGAGGCTAAAAAGGGCAGATGCCACTTTTTGCACTAGATGTAGCTTGCAGACCAAGCACAAGAATAAAACAATTAGCTCTCCACCAGACAGTGGAAAGAAACCTTGAGCCCTGCAAATGTTTTCAGACTACGGCTTCCACAGGCCATGCATGATTGGTAGGGTTGATGGAAGCTGTAGCTACAACACCTGGTTCCCCACTTTTGCCCTAAGCAGTGCCCTAAGCGGTGCCCTAAGCAGTTACCAGCATCAAAGATGTAGGGGGTATTACTATGGTGCTTGCTGGCTATTCTTTAGGGCATTAGTGACCACTCCTTATCTTCTCAAGGTTATCATCCAGTAAAACTAATTGCTGACAAGGACATGAGAAGGTCAAGACAGCTGTGGCCAATTGCATTCTGTTTTCTCTCTTGAGTTATTACCTGCATTAAACATGAGGGAGGGAGGGAGAACTCCTCAAATAAACAAAAAACAGGAAGTTGTGGCACCATAAAGAAAAACATTTTAAATGTCATAAGCCTTCATACACTACACTCAGTTTGCTTTGTTAGATGCATGAAATGTTATCCTGAGCTACAAATATTTGTGTTGTAGTACTGGCCAATAAATACAGTGGACCCTTGACTTACAGATGGCTCCACTTACGGACTTTTCGAGTGACAGACTTCTCTGGCCGCAAAATTTAGGTTCGACTTGCAGGCAGAGAATCGACCTACAGACTGGAAAAAAAACCCAAAATGGAACAAAATTAATCCGGTTACGGATTAATTCAATGGAGCCTCGACCTACAGACTTTTCGACCTGCAGCCACCGTTCCAATACCTATTAATTCCATAAGTCAAGGGTCCACTGTAGTGAAATTGGAGGGTTATGAGATAAGAGTAGGCTGTGACAATTGTGTCATTAACTGTAATCATTCATAAAACACATGTCACAATCATGTCAGAACTAGATTGTTATTGTTTAGTCCTTAAGTCATGTCTGACTCTTTGTGACCCCATGGACCACAGCACGCCAGGCCCTTGCTATAGTTTGCTGTGGTCCACAAAGTCAAAGGCTTTTGCGTAGTCAATGAAGCAGAATGTTTTTCTGGAACTCTCTGGCTTTCTCCATAATCCAGCACATGTTAGCAATTTGGTCTCAAGTTCATCTGCCCCTTCAAAATCCAGCTTGTACTTCTGGGAGTTCTCGGTCTACATACTGCCTAAGCCTACCTTGTAGGATTTTAAGCATAACCTTGCTAGCGTGTGAAATGAGTCTAGATAAGAACTAGATAAGCTAAGCTAATTAGGATTTCTTGCACTGAGAATAATGACTGGTGGAGAAGTATAGGCGTGGAGCAATAAAGACCATGTCCATGAAAACATAAAATGACCAAGTAATGAGAAACAAAAAAATACAGATTGTTACAATTGATAATTGAAACTGTAAACAAAAGGAGAAAGAAGTGCAGGAAGCAGAACTTTTTTTATCTTAAACAAAAAAAATGGAGGCTGTTTTGGATATAGCCCAATGCTAGCATTTGGACCTGCCTTACTGAGAGGAACAAGAAAAGTGAGTTATTTTGAAAGGTTTTAAAAATAAGAGGGGAAACTAAGGTGTAGCCTGTATAATTAAAATTGTAAACCGTCCGGAGAGTGCTTGTAGCGCTATGGGGCGGTATATAAGTCCAATAAATAAAATAAATAAATAAGGTGATGTACATCATACCCAACTCTCCCAAGTCCCATCCTCCCAAATCAGAACTGTAGGAATTGCATTTCAACAATTATCAGCAGAATCATAGTTTCTTTACCCCAAATGCAAAAAGGAGTGCTGCCTGTTTGCATATTACCATGCCTATACACACATTACACTTCATTAAACCAGTTATAGTGACTGTGTTTTCAGTACCTTTGAAGTTCAAGGTATTCCTACAAACCTAGGAAGTAATTTATTCTGCTCTTCCTTTGCTATTTTCGTGCTAAGCTGGTTAATTGTACGTTGCCAATTCCTTTGCTGCAGGAACAAAATACCAATAAAGTGGCAATTCCAGGGAAATGTCTCATTCTAGCATGTGTACAGTAGCTTTGTTTGTTTGTTTGTTTCTACCAAGATGCTGCCTTATTTTGCTTCTCAGGTTGAATCATGGTCAAAGGCAGAAGGAGCAGACAGCTAAATTCAGATTAAAGCCCCCACCTCCTTTGCAGGATGTACTTAACAGAGATCAGTAGCTGCCTCCTGAGGAGCCTAAACAGGATAATGACAGGGAGATAATGATGGGGCAGTTTAAAGACCAAGTGAGTTGCCTTATATAGTTTTAGCATCAGCCAAGAATTTGCCTCATTCTTGCTGATTTTTTTTTCAGGCTTGAATTTTTAGAGAGCCCTGGCCAGTGCTAGTAATATAATTCTGTCAGTATTCCTGCATTTAATGTTTCTTTTCTCTCACAGTGTATCTATGCTAAACTATACATTATTAATGTTTTTTTTTATATTTTGTAACTGTTATTTAATATTTGTGATTCTTAAACCATTTGTGTTTCCTAAACCATTCATGTAAGCTGATTACAGGGAGAAAGGTGGAGTATAAGTTAAACAAACAACAACAACAATGCATATATATTCAAAAATTTTGGAGTATCTGTCTGTCTGTCTGTCTGTCTGTCTGTCTGTCTGTCTGTCTGTCTATCTATCTATCTATCTATCTATCTATCTATCTATCTATCTATCTATCTATCTATCTATCTATCTATCTATCTTCTTACCCTGCCTTTCTCTTTAAAAAGGATCCAAGGTGGCTTACATAAATGAAAATACAATATTTAAAGCTAGAAAGTGTAAGTATACAAATATCACACTGAAACATGGTAAACAAAAGCAACACCAAAAACACATTCAAAGCAGCAAAGCACAACAATCCATTCTAAAAGCCTGCCTGAAGAGAAAGGTCTTCATCTGCTTGCAGGAGGGACAGCAAAGATGGGAGTCTTCCTGGCCTCCTATGGGAGGGAGTTCCAAAATGTGAGCAGCAAGAAAGACAGCCCTCTCCCATTTCTCCACCAAACACACCTGTGAAGGTGGCAGGACTGAGAGAAAAGCCTCCCCTGATATTTTTAACACCCATGCAGGCTCATAGAGGGAGATGTGGTCCTTGAGATAACTTGGGCCCAAGCCATTTAGGTTAAAACCAGCACTTTGAATTGTGCCTGGAAATGGATCGGCAGCTATAAACTCATTCTATCATAAACTGCAAACTCCTTGTATCATAAACTGGTTAATCACAGTATTACAGGAGTCTTCCAAACGATTTGGGTTAATTTTCACTCCACAGGCCTTTTTATAAAAGGAAAATGGGTGTTGACCATGTCACACAAACTAGTTCACAGAACTGGACTGCAATTGTTATTTATGAGGAGGATTAATCTGTTATGTGAAGATGTGGGCTGCAGTTCATTAACACATG